TGCAGAAAGCGGGCACCGTCTCTTCTAGCTTTTAATTGAATGTGCTAGTTTAAAATGCTCAGTTGCTATTGAGAAGATATTGTTTCAGATTTGACTTATTTATATGGACTTAATGACACCATATAACAAACACTATTATTGCCTATCAACGTGTTATAACTCTATTATTAGTTATATATATAGTCAATTATTTAAGTCTGCATGTCTTAGCCAGAGCATGCTGCAAAAAGGTTTCAGTAGGGCTCTGAGTGAAACTCCAATAATAAGTAAGGTTAAGTTTTAACTCTAATTTCACCCTGATAAGTTTCACTGCCGATTAAAACCTTTTTCCAAAATACTCAAATGGGCTCAGAAACATTTGGGGGTGGAGGTGTTTTTCTTGGTTAATGAATAATAAATTTTTCACACTTTTGCTGACAAACAGTTTAATTATTACCTTTCATTTATTTTTGTACCAATATCACTGGTGGTGGTTTTTCAGGCAGGCAAGTGCTGGAGATTAACGAAAGGTTCTTCAGTGAAAGAAAAAGGCAGGAAAAAGCCGGCAAAGCCAAACTAGGAAAAATAATTACCAAACGGAGAATCAAAGGTGTGGAGGAAAATGTGGAGGGAAGGCTCAGAGATGGATGTGCGGTAATACTGAAGCACAGGTAAACTAGAGGGGACGATAAAGCAGCAAGAAATGCAGTAATCCTTCAAAATATAAACAGGAAGAGTTGCTGACCACACAAACTCACACCGACACACACATTTTTTTTCTCCGCTGATGTGAGAGAATGACATCTTTAACAACTGACATATTAGCGGACAATCCCCTCACTCTTATTTTCAGCCGCTTGAGCCTCCGTTCCCTTTATGACCAGAATCTCCAGCAGGTAAAGAACTGCTTCACATAAACTACTCAGATCTCACCGAGCCTGAACAGTACAGCAACCAGCTTCTACCAGCTGCAGTCCAAGAGGACTCGCTGGAGAGGCAGCTGATTAAAATGTTCAATTACAGCTCACGATATAATATGATATGAAAAATTTGCAGAGGAGACCCTTAGAAGCCTGCATGCTTTTTGAGTGTGTACACAGGTACACACGTGTGCAACCAGGACACAACACTGATGCTAACAAAATAAATACATCAAAGAGTCCAAATCGGTGGTCAACACTGTGCATGCTGTCAAAGTATACAAGGGAGGCATGAAAACATGAAAAATGAATGGAGAAAAATCGACGGACAGTGCAGACCACGACAGCGGGTCCTGCTGCTTCTTTCACAATCAAAACTTCAAAACTGCATGTGTGCCTCATTGTTGAACAGCCACTTATCCATCAAAGACTGGAAGAAAAATCCCGTCTGAATAGAGGACAATAAGCAATAAATCTGCACAACATCTCCGAGAGTGACTCTTGATTTTGATGTGTTTGCGTGCAATTTCTATTAATTTATTGTTGCAATTAAGAGCATCCTTTTCATTTGCATAAGAAAAGAAAGGAGGACCCTTGACAAGAATGCTAATCAGCTTAAACCGAGGCTGATAACGCTGACAGCTTTTAGCTGATCATGTGACCATTTACATCTCTGGCCTTCTTAATAGCAAAAGCATTGGGTGCAAAACGGGCAGGAGAAACTGCAATCACGCAGAAAAATGTTCAAAATTTCTCTCGGAGAAATGTGTTATTTTGACAAGGTGATTTTTCCCCCTGCTCCACCAGGTATAAATTGTCAATCAATTTTTTTCAAGTTGGATACAAGTCCAAACTCCTCATTCCTCCCTCCTTAAGGCAGGATGTTGATATCGGGCAGCTTCTGGTGTGACAGAAGTCCTGGTTGCTTGGCAACAGGTACGAGTTTAGAGTCCGGTGTGAGTGTGACATCCAGGGTAAGAACAACCTGGCAAGCCTGTCCTACATACACACACACACATGCACGCTTTACCACTGTTTGATGTGTGCACCTTACACATTTCTTGCAAGAAGTGGGATTAGACGGAGCCATCAGTAAACTCCTCGGGGCAGTGCTGACATTAAACAGCACAAGTGTTTGAGAGATCGATGCAGGTACCTTGGAGCAGCCGTACCTCTGGACGACCACGCGTCCTTCATAACTGCACAGCTCCACATATGAAACATCCCTCATCAAAAGCAGCGGGACTGCAGACTGATATTCAGAGCTGCGAGGAAGCCTTGGAACTTCACAGGGTTTCTAAAGACCGAGACCCTCGCTTGCTGCGGGGGGTCTGTGGCACCCAGCACGACGGATTTGTTTCATAGACGAATAAATGCCAACTATAACGGCTCATAACGACATGGCAAATGGTCCATCATCATTAAACGTTGGCAGAGCAACATCGCATTAGTAATGTTGTTCCCCATAAAGTCAGCAGTTTATGGGTCACGTCATGTTCTTTTTAGCTATTGACAAAACTATTCATATCCCGCAGATCGAATTTAAGGAGCAGCCTCCACAACGTCACCCGGTGCTCGCTGCATAGCAGCGACTGTACATCATCCAATCAGCGTGTCTATTTAAATAAACAGGTCACTCTCAACTTAAGACGCACTGTTCAAAACGGATCTGAGAACAAGTGTGTTTTTCTAGCTCTTATAAAAGTGGATGGGGGGGAGAAAGAACAGCCATTATAAATTGGAAGGGAGAAACAGGAGCAGATATTGTGTAAAAATAGTGATAACACATTTTCTGACAACCCATCCAGTCAGACACTGAGTTAAAATAAGCTAAAGAGATATCACCTATCAGACGTCTGAGAGGGCTGGCAGGCGGGGGTTTCAGACGGTCTGAAATGCAGTGTGGACAGACCATAAATTAAACAGAGAAACCCAAGGTTATACAGGTAACCAGGAACATTGCTTACATGAATACTTATTTTAACTATGTTGTTTAAAGACGCTGGCCCAGTGGCTTTACTAAAGAATAACTAGTTAAATTAACTGATGATTTGTAATTGGCCGATTGTCTGAGCGCATAGGGCTGTTTGTCCAGCTGGGCTAAACTCCAGCCCCACGTCAACCTCACTGGAAAAGCGAACCTAGTGGAGTGGACGGATGAATGGAAGGGTAGCGACAAAAGACGTGATAACCAGAGAGTGTAACACTTGTGTTAACGGCTTGAACAAGCCTGAATTTCAAAGTGATCAAAAGCTAGAGGCCACTTTAAAAGTTTCTAGAGCGCTCGTGTTAATTTCAATTTCAGTCGCAATTTTCGTGTAATTATTCTAATTAATTATCTCTTCTTCTGCCAGCTGCACTGCTGCCACACTTTTCCGTTTTCTACTTTCTTTTGTCACGAGCACGTGTGCCGGCAAGGAGCTGCAAAGAAACCAGTGCACACGTGAGAGAAATCTGCAGCCAGGTTTCTCTGATATTTTCATTTTCATTAATAATGTTTTTAAAAGGAGATTATTGGACAGTTATTGGCTGCGACATTATGAAGTTTGTTTACAGAACAGCAGTAAAACCGCTGCACGTCACGGCTTGCTAAGTGTTTGCATTCACCCGTGGCTAGTAGATGCTGACCATTTATTTGACAAACTAAAAAAAGAACTTCCATTCGTATCACTCCGATTAACAACTGTACCAAACCGTGAGAGCAGAGCTGTTAACACAAGGAGGGAAATTTTATCACTGTTGACTCGCTGAGAATTTCTTCCTAATGATGCAACTCACACAAGCGCTCCCTTGTGTGCTCATTTTTCCCCCCCCTCCCATTTTCAGCAAAGAACTACAATCAACTTTTCATACTTTTTGTTTTGTTGCCATTATTTAAAGACCCTGATGCCAAAAAGAAAAAAAAAACAAAAGAAGCCAAAACAGCCCGCCATCGACAGACGGTGTGTGAGTGACAGCGAGGTTGTGAGACACGACAGGAAGAGCTATAAACAAGCTGTGTACCTGGGAGAATTTGAAGTTTAAAATCCCCAAACATTTCTCAAAGACGCTCGTGTTAGAAGAGATCATTAGAAAACAAAAACAGGAGATTTGTTTTATTAAGAAAAAAAGAAAAGAGCAGAACGGGAAGGGACAAACCTGCACGTACACCAATCAAAGCCTCGTTGTGGGAAAATTTTGGAGACTAGATCAGACGTCCTCACCTACCGAAGTTTCAGGCTGAATTGATATCTAGACACTTAAAGTTAGATAAGCATGCCTTTTTTTGTGCCTACATTTGCCGAGGTGCTGAATGTTAATTCTGAACCCTGTAGCCCAGATGGATAAAATGTTAAAACTGTGAGCTCTTCATCTTAAAACAAAGCGGCAGTGTTTGCATATGAATTAATATATTTCTGATTAAATTTCTCTTCAGAGTTTCCTGAATTCCCTTTGTGTCTGTGTGAAGAAGCCGACTGATGTGCCTATCTTTTCATGCGTCTCTCAGTTGTTGCACTTCATCCGCTTTTCAAACATGGCTTTGCTATGTACAGCCAGCCACAAGTGCATGTGTGCACGTGTACCCCCCCTCCCCACCCATCCACCCACCCCCAGAAAAACCTGTCACGGCCACGTTTCTCATTCCCAATCAGTTGTCAGGCTGTAAATGAGTGGTTTGAATTTTGCGGATCGCTGCTGAATCACACCACATCAGTGTCATACATGTTTATGACACTGATGGCGGAGGCGGGGGACTGCAGCACAACGGAGAGAAAAACAAACAGGTCTCCAAGGTGATCGAGAAGATTTCTGAGACTGAAACCAATGTGCTTATTATGAGACTGGCAGGCTAAATAGGCTGGAGGATGAGCCAAGAGCCCGATGGAGCACAGTAATCACTGGCAAATTGCAAATCCAGGTTTCAGCACACAAACACTTTACATAATGATTCTATGAAGTTGCACATGTCATACATCTGTAGCAGACAAAATGCAAAAAAAGAAAGAAAAGAAAACTGGCTCATATCTGGGTTGAAACACTGCACAGAAGGAGTCCCAATAGAGGGAAAATTCAGTGAAAATTGGTTATCTATGTGGTTCACAGATTTTGCGTCTGGTGTACCTGTTGCTGGGTCAACAGTCCGTTCAATCAAGTGGTCATCTTGGTGAACCCACTCGCCGTTGCACTTGAAGTAGATCTGCGTGGCCGGGGTGGAGCGGCAGGTCAGAGTCACCGGCTTGTTCTTTACGATGTACTCGTCCTCCGGCTCTATCTGGAAGTGAGGTAACAGGTCCGAGAAGGCGGCGGGAAGCGTCGCCGTGGCAGCGTGCTCAGAACCTTGGAGGATAAAGAGGAGGAAGGGGGAGAAAAAGATATTCAGAGAGATGTCAAATAAAAGTGAAAAAGAAAAGCTTTCAAAGTATTTCAAGTTGTCATGAAAGCAGGAGCTGAACCTTGTCGTACTTCGTTGTTGTGACTGCTTGACTGGTGAGCGAAAACGCAAGAAAATATCTAATGCAGGGATTGGGAGTCCTTGGTGAATTTGAGCTCATACATATGCACACGAACGAGGCAGAAGAAGACAGAGAGAGACAGATGGACAAAGAGCAAAAAAAGAGAGACGGAGCTGCGTGGAGCAGAGTTGGCAGTGACGGAGATCGGCCTCGCGTACTCTTGGCTGGGTCGTGTGGATAGCAAAGTCCATGTCTTTACTCCAGCTCTTAATCACAGCCCTTTAACATCACCACTGATGGACCAGCAGCCATAAATCCCCATCTCAACGACTAGGCCACTTCACACTGTGTTATATGGTTCTTCAACTGGGACTCTAACTCTACCCACATTAAACACGACAGGGCACGAGGCAGGGAAGGTTGATGACTGACAGCTAAACAGCCTGTTAACTTAAAATCACTTCCTATATCCAGTAGATGTCTTTTTATTCCTTTAAAATCTCACATGACATATAAATGACATGTAAAGGAAGGAGGCGGGAGGGGGAGAGAAACACCTCGGAGATACGGAGCTGTCCTTGCTAGGATGATGCCACAATTTACGGCAGACTTCTCGCTGAAAAATGTGCTATCCAAATGCTGAGTGACACAAAAGAGCCTGCAGCGCACACATCCTTCCTCCATGAACACACTTTCTCGCTCTCTCTAAACATATTAGCCTTGCGCGAGAGATAGCGAGAGGACACAGAACGGAGTAGAAAGAGGGAAATAACCTCTTTACACCACCGACACTCAAGGGAGACCGGTAAATCCCAAAATAAAACCCCTCTAAAAGGAGTGCGATATTAATTTACTGCCCTGAATCCAATATGGCTGACAAACCAGGAATTAACAACCTTCTCCATCACTCCCTGCGTGGAGGGAGAGGACGGCGGTCCACATCTCACACAATGAAAACGCCAGCACTCGTGCTGACCTCTCTTCTCCCCCCCACTCCTGTCGTCCTCCCTCGCCCGGCCTTTGTTCATCCTTACAGCTTGCCGATGCCCGGGTCAGGGATAATATTACATTGCATCATAAATACCAATCTTCAGATGAAGACATTATCTGTCAGTTCCTCCCCCACTACACATTATATTAATGTCTCTCTTTCTTCTCCCTTTCTTTCCCTTGTACCCCTGTGTGCTGAGTTGCTAATTTATCAGGATGAGATACAGTGAGGCGCGGCGCTGCTGCTGTCACTGAACCCCATTAATGTTGCGTGTACATGTTTAACTCTTAATGAAAACTAAATGTTCTGTGTCCAATGAACGACATACATCACTTGCTGACATGTTGCCATTTTCCCCGTTTTCCTCATTTTCCGAACACATTTTCTTATTGCATGCATTTGCAGAGGAAAAAAAAAAAAAAAGACAGCTTTCTATTCGAGCGCCTGACATTATTGACTGCGCATGCGAGTGTACGTTTAGGCCACAGTTCATCTTGAATGGAGAATATAATTGCTTTAAAGGAGAGCCAAAAACTTTACTAATAAACAGCGTGGGCCCGGCAGGTCAGGCTGTTTGAAAATGTGTTGTTCCTAATGATGGCCGGTTCTTCAAGTGGGCCTGATTCCAGCTTTGTGACTACGGCCATTAGCCGGCTGGGCTGACCCCCCTGTACTCCCTGCAGACCGAGGACGACAGCTCACTAAAACAGTAGGCGAGACTCACCTCGCACCTGCCAGGTTAATCATCTCATAGAGGACAGATGATGTTGAAACAGAGTGAAACCGAAGCCACCCGAGAAGGCTGACAAGTTGCGAAATGACTCGACGAACTACCGATGTTAACTCGCCACCGACTTCCCATTTGCAAGGGGTCACATTCAGAGGGAACTCTCAACTTTTGATGATGTTGCCAATTTGTGTTTTTGAGTGTGTCACAAGGGGTGCAAGGGAGGGCGGTTAGCCTTCCGTTTTAGTGCATGTGCTTTAGGTTAATGAGGTTAAACACGTAATTTCTTTTGAGAAGCAAATATTCATTTTATGGAAGAGAATTCAAGTCACGCACCGCTTTATGTCAAACCCATAATGGAGGGCTGATGTGTAGTAAATTGGCTTAGATTATTGTCACGACACAACATACTTCAAAGTCAACGTGCACACGCGCTTGCTCGCTCGCACACATAGGGAGTATCAGCCACTTAACTGACTTCTTGCGGGTCAGTGCACAAATCAAGACGTACAGCCCTGCATTATATTCCGCTGAGTGTGATTGGCTCGGGCCGCTGTTAATTGTGAAATGCATCCGAGCCCATTGCCAGATTATTCTGTACGCGCGCAAACAACAAACAGTGGACGCTAAACGTCTCCCTTGTTGATCATACAGCCATGACACTGTTTTAATTGCTACAATATGGTGGATGAGTTCCTGGGGCCAGGCCACTGTTTGGACTCCTGCAGATTTTCCTGTAAAGAAACCGGGATTCTTTCTTCTTCTTCTTTTTTAAAATTCTTGTCGTTGTTAAAAGAAACACGCCACGTTTTGCCCTGATATTTGTCTGCAGCTGCTTTTCTCTTGAGAGACAATTCAGAACACACAACCTCAAATGCACACACACAACAACAAGGGTGCACCAGCTGTCAGTGTGCTGAGCCATGATGTCCAGGGCAGATTTCTTGCTTCACACAGACCCCATGACTCATCTGTCCTGCTGACCACATCAACTCCCAAGTCAGGGGCTGATAAGATGATAAAGTTGTTATGATGCCGTCACTTATAACATATAAATGTTAAAATCTAAAAAAATTAAATAATAACAACAACAATTATATTCCTGTAATGACTGCAACTATATATGCTTGTTTTATATTATCACACAGGATTCGATTTTGCAGCTTTGATGGTAACACAAGACCGTTACAATCTTCAATACTTCATAATGATTTCTACTCTAGTGACATTTACTTTGCAGGAGCAGGCTTCTCTTTTCCCCTCGTATACACAGAAAGCTCACGTCTCTTTTCTAAACAAAACCCAACATACTGTAGATGTGCTCCGCTTTTTAAATTTTGCTTCCATCTACATGAAAAGCAGAAAGCGACACAGTACGGCGATGTCAGCCGGCGAAAAAAACAAAACAAAACAAAACAAAACAAAAAAAAGGAAAAGAAAAACGTAGCTGGAGAGGAAATAACCCTCTTTTGTGTTTCTCCCTCACAGCGCCAACACATCATATGCCCTTTGGAGCCAATTACATTTTTTTTTCTCCCAACATCATGTCCCTGAAGTAAAGCATCATTGAGCAATCACTGGGTTTAATTTACATCAGTGTGATAAACAGCAGCTATAACAAGTGTTTTATGACACCATCAGTGCCTTACGATGTCCTCTGAAATTAATTCAATTAAAATTACAATCCAGAATATTATGCAATTTCTTGTTTGGCTATTAACAGCAAAGCTAAGATCAAATGTGTCTCGACCGCTTTGTTGGTTGATGTTTTCCCTCCGAGTGCCTGGGTTTCTATGAGTGGGTTTCCGGACTCTCCTAAACAACTGAGTGTCTTTATTCAGTGATCGCTCTAAACGTAACGTATGTACATAATGGTTCTGGGAAGAGAAGCGTTGATCAGGTCAAGTTAGAAATGCTATCTGTATGCCCGTGACGGCATTTACATCGAGAGTGAAAAATGCAGGAAAACGAAGGGATGAGTGCGGTGATAGGGGGGTGGAGGAAAAAAAAGCTTCCTCCACCATCATATATAATCTGCTGCGCGGCTGACTGATGTATGTTTGTCCCCAGATGAGAACTATTTACTCCTCCACATGTCTGAGGATTCAGAGTACATTTTTCAATGAGACAAACATGCTTCAACAAGCACTCGAACCACAAACACAGGCACATTTGGTATCAGAAGCATGCGTGCTCCCCGTATACTGTACACTTACATGCCATCCTGGAGCCCAAAAAGTGCATGTATGCAAAAAAAAGAAAAAGAAAAAAAAAAGACCACAACAATGCAAAAGAGCAGACGAAAACAAAAAAAAGCTGCTCACAAACAGCTTTGTCTTTCAATCAATGAGAGGTGCAGAATTATGCATGCAAAAAAACCAGAAATGCTAAAAAGCAAAATCACACTATGCAATATCCCTGGTCATTAAGGTCGGTCTGCAAAACAATCAATTACTGTCAGCAGATATCCACCAGTATAGAAACTGCTTTCATGCATTAAATAAACATGTACTAGCACCGGCACCTACTGCAACCCAAAGTTGCATCAGCACCAGTTGTAGGAGGATGCAGAGGCTTTAAAACTATATTAATAAATAAGAGTATGAAGGACAGAAGGAGAATATGAGCCTCGAGGAGGATGAATATGTAAATTGTCCTCACGCATGCCACATATGACGTTAATACAACCCTCCCACCCCCCACCACCACCCTTAATTGAATACAAAATTGGATGCTAAGCATATAGCGGTGATGCGGGCCCTTGCACATGTGTTTGCATATATTCATCCTAGATACTAATAACGTGCTGCCCACAGTGCTCCCGAAGAGAACATTTCCATAATAGATGCGCTTCTGAAGCTTCAATCTCATCATCAACTTTGAGAAGTGCCTTCAAAAGCCGGAGACATAAATCATCATTACTCAAAAAACAGGCGTCTCTTTGTTTATGTGATTAAATGCTTTTGCTTGTTTTGTCATTAAACAGTTTGTCAGCAGAAGGAAAGGGGGGGAAAAGAAAGAAAAACAAGTGTGGAGCTGTTGTGTAAATATAGTGCACAACAACACCATTAATGAGCTTTACACCTTTGAACAGGAGCCTACACATTTACTTATTCCGCTTTGTTGATTCCTATTTATCAATTTTCCTTGTCATTGTTCCTTGAAG